GAGAGCTGGAGAGGGATTTGGGATCAGGGCCTGCAATGCCTGGAAGGACACAGGGAATGGCTTCCCACTGGGAAAGGGGAGATTGGGAAGGGATTCCCGGCTGGGCTGGAATTCCCAGGGAAGCTGTGGCTGCCCCTGGATGATCCCTGCAGTGTCCCAGGCCGGGTTGGATCCCCTGGGATAGCGGGAGGTGTCCGGGGACAGAACGGGCCGATCTCCAAGGCCCCAGTTCCCCCATCCCCGCATCCCCCCATTCCCAGATTCCCGCATTCCCGGGCTGCCTCCCTCTCCCTGCCTCTCACCAGGCTCTCCACCTCGTGCCGCAGCCACCGATCGTCCTCCAGCATCTCCCGCTGCTGCCGCTCCATCACCCGCTCCACCTTGAGCCGCTCCTCCTCCAGCAGCCGCTGCGCCTCCTCCCGGCTGCTCGGCCGCAGGAAATCCTCCTCCTGCACCCGGGGGGGACGGCAGCTGGGGCCGGTATTCCCGGGAGGGACGGCAGCTGGGGCCGGCATTCCCGGGAGGGACGGCAGCTGGGGCCGGCATTCCCGGGGGACGGCCCCGGAGTACGCGGGGAGCGTCCCAGAGTACCGAGGGACTGCCCCAAAATCCCGAGGGACTGCTCCAAAATCCCGAGGGACTGCCCCAAAATCCCGAGGGACTGCCCCAAATCACTGAACAGCCGCCCTGAAGTCCCGAGGAGCCGCCACAGATTCCCCGGGGACCGTCCCAAAATCCCGAGGGACCGTCCCAAATTCCCGAGGGACCATCCCAAAGTCCCCAGGAACTGCCACAAAGTCCGGAGGGACTATCCCAAAGTCCCGAGGGACCGTCCCAAATTCCCGAGGAACTGCCCTAAAGTCCCGAGAGACCGTCCCTAATTCCCGAGGGGCCGTCCCAAATTCCCGAGGGAGCGTCCCAAACTCCCGAGGGGCCGTCCCAAAGTCCCGAGGAACTCCCCTAAAGTCCCGAGGAACTGCCACAGATTCCCGAGGGACCGTCCCGAAGTCCCAAGGGACAGCCCCAAAAACCCGAGGGACTGTCCCAAATTACCAAGGGACCGTCCTAAAGTCCCGAGGAACCACCACAAAGTCCTGAGGAACTGCCTCAAAGTGCCGAGGAACTGCCCTAAAGTCCTGCGGGACCATCCCAAATTCCCGAGGGGCCGTCCCAAATTCCCGAGGGAGCGTCCCTAATTCCCGAGGAACTGCCCTAAAGTCCCGAGGAACCGTCCCAAATTACCGAGGAACTGCCCCAAAGTCTTGAAGGACCGTCCCAAATTATCAAGGGTCGGCCCCAAATTCCCGAGGGACCGCCCTAAAGTCCCGAGGGGCCGTCCCAAATTACCGAGGGAGCATCCCAAATTACCAAGGGACCGCCCTAAAGTCCCGAGGAACCGTCACAAAGTCCCGAGGAACCGCCCCAAAGTTCTGAGGAACTGCCCCAAACTCCCAAAACACTGCCCTAAAGTTCTGAAGGACCATCCTAAAGTCCCGAGGGAGCGTCCCAAATTCCCGAGGGAGCGTCCCAAATTCCCGAGGAGCCGCAGCCACCCCATTTCCCAGCTCCTTTTTGGGAACACCAAACCCCAGTGGATAAAACCCCAATGGATAAAACCCCAGTGGATAAAACCCCAGTGGATAAAACCCCAATGGATAAAACCCCAATGAACAAAATCCCAATGGATAAAACCCATATGGATAAAATCCCAATGGATGAAATCTCAGTGGATAAAACCCATATGGATAAAACCCCAATGGATAAAACCCCAATGGCCAAAAATGGCCAAACCCAAATGAATAAACCCCAAATGGATAAAACCCGTGTGGATAAACCCCAAACAGATAAAACCCCAAATGCCAAAAATGACCAAACTCCAATGGGTCAAACCCAAAATGTCAAACCTAGAAGGCCCAAAACCCCGATGGCCAAACCCCAAATGGCCAAAAAGGGCCAAGCCCAAAATGGCCAAATCCCAAATTGCCAGAAATGGCCAAACCCCAACGGGTGAAACCCCAGTGGCCAAATCCCAAATGGCCCCCCCTAAACCCAAATGGGCTGAACCCAAGGGGTCAAAGGGGGATAAACCCAAAGGGTCAAACCCAAATGGCCAAACCCAAAGGGTCAAATGGGGCCAAACCCAAAAGGCCAAAACCAAATCCAAAGGGCCAAACCCCAAACCCAAAGGGCCAAACCCCAATGGCCAAACCCCAAATCCCAAAGGGCCAAACCCCAAATCCAAAGGGCCAAACCCAAAGAGCCAAACCCCAAATCCAAAGGGCCAAACCCTAAAGGGCCAAACCCCAAAC